TGTTTATTTATGAGTTTCTTACTAGCACAATTAACGAGCTTGATGATAGAATAATTTATTTATATTATAAGCCTAAATTGTACTTTGGACCAGAAGTTCTTTCAGAGTCAGGTGAAGAGTTATGGAAAGGAAATCTTTGAGCAGAATCCCCTCTTTTTAGCCAATCTAATCTAATGACTTCACGAGGTATGTAATTACCTAAAATAGATATTTTTAATTAATTATATAATCATACATAAAATAACAATCGATCAAGAATATTGCCTAATATAGAAATAGGCAAATTATATATTTAAACCTGTTGTAACATAAATATCTACTTATCATTATATTTTATTTATTGGTAAATTCTTTTAAAAGTGGCAATTTCATTCAATACTTTTTTCAAAATAATTTAGAATATAGTCAAATTCAATCATTTGTAACCAAAGATAATTCTATAAAGGCTCAAATACAAAGAATAATACCTTATAGTAAAATTCTACATAATTTACATTCAGAAGAACATGCGCTACAATACCCAACATGAGTGGTTTTTAGTAGAAGAACAACCCTATTTTATTGTAGAGCCTTCGTCGTTAACACAAAAAATAATAGCCTGGCTTAAAGATCAACCGCCTCCACAACATTTTGATTTATCTATCAATGGAATTTTATATCATTTTAATGGATATTGGAAGATTCGATCTATTAAACTTCGAAATCAACATCCTGCTGAATATATATCAGAAAATCTACTACCCGATTCAACTATGCCAATCTTAAAATTTTTCTTGGACTTGTACTATGATAACTTTGGTATATTTCGTAATGTATATCATTCATTAGGTGGTGTATATTTACAAATTGGTAACATGCCGTGTCAAATGAGAAAACAATTACGTAACCATTTTGTTATTGGCTTTGTGCCTTTTGAAGGAGATTTTAAAGATTTTATTAAACCTTTTCTTCACGAAATTAAAAAGCTTGAACAAGGGTTTGTAATAAATCTGAATGGTATTAATTATTGGATAACAGGAGAGCTAGGCATGTTTACTGCAGACCTTCCTCAGGGCAATGATATTGCTAGAACGCTATATCATAATGCATATAGGGGTTGTCGAACATGCAAAGCATCCAAGGATCAGTTAACTAATCTTTCATTTGATTTATATTATTATGGTAGATATCACCAATTAACAAACCAAGAGTTTTAACTTATAAATCATCAAACTTCAAATAATGCAAAATCTAGGCTTTGCTCTCAATATGGATTACGATCTTCACCAGGACCATTAGATTCACTGTTATATGATCGCCACTTACATACGCCGCAAGATGCATACCACGCAATTGCTGGTAAAGCTGCTCGATTACTGGACTGTACTTATTCAATTTTAACATTATATGGAGAGAATAATTTAATAAATTATTGGAAAAACATTGAGATTCCTTCACAATGGTCCCGCTTGCCAAACCCAATTACTTATAGACGCTCATTTATGATGTCAGATAATTTAAGAATTCTTATGATCTTTCCCTTTATATTAAAACGTTGTTTAACTATTAAAAGCATTAAGGATGATTTTTTAAAGTCTACCTGCAGAAGGTTACATTTTTTTTGTCAGTCAGAAGTGCGAGATTATATAATTTATACTTGGGCGCTTTGTGCAAAGGCAGCTAAAAAAGTTTTTTCTTTAACTATGCAATGATTTAACGGATATTCTAGTCTACAAACTGCATTAAATGACGAGCTTGATGCTTTAATTAAGGTATTTATTGTTCTAATATTATTTTGGTTTAAATTATAACAAAACAAACTTACTTTATTTTAAGTTTTAAGAACCTCCCTAATTTACATGTAACCCGACATTTGGTAGACCACGCACGTCAATATACAACATGTATAAATACAGCAGTTGGAACAAAGGAAATGGTGCATCGAATAATTAAGGCAATTGTTCCACATACCAATATGCATAATCTGGAACTTACCCTATTATGACAAATAAACACTTTACAAACTTTACGATACCTTGCTGATGGTGGAACAGACGATCGAATGCCTCATTATTCAACACAATCTATCTTTAAGCTATTGATTGCAACAACACGACATTGCCAATTATTATCTGGTTGGTGTATTAATAATTGCAGCCTGTCAATACACTGCTTGAATGAAGAATCCGATCAATTACAAATTGAAGGTAAAAAAAAAACCAACATATGTTTTTTTTTTACCTTTTTTTTTACTTTTTAAATTTGCTTTTTTGGACGATTCTATCATTACTACCAATTCTGGACTCTTTAATTGCTCTGAAATAAAACTAGGACGAAGATGAACTAGACATCAAGTTGAAGCCAAAGGCTTTATATCGACTAATATTGAGAAAAATGGTCTACTTAAAGATATCATGAAAGCGTATTCATTATATTATTCATCGGATCAAGCTCTATTAGAGGCACGAGTTTATTTTTATGAAAATGTGGCATATAAAATAACCAAAGACAATGGTGACTATTATAATATAAAGTTAAAAGTTGGTGAGATGGTTGAAGCAACACTAATTGGTGAAAGTGAACAGACATTTCAGGTAAGGTTATCAAATATAATTTATGTAATGAGCAATTAAATTATTTGGACTTTAATTTTTTTTATTAAAATCCGAGAGCGAATATTTTTTATTTAGGCATTTGGCAAAATAACTAGTATAATTAAACATTCATGGAATAACGATCAAGAATATGTTTTTCTTTGCTTCGATTGGTTGGAAAATCTTAATAAACTGGATTCTTTGTTAGGCTGTCCAGTCTATCGTATTCAACATTCAGATGATTCTTTGAATCGTCCCTATAAAAAAAAATCTCTTGAAATTGTTCGGAAAATTCTGAAATTATCCAATTTTTTGTTCAGAAAATCGACTCC